CCTAAATTAACTCAGTTTAAGTGAGCTTTTAATGAAGTCTGACTTCGAATGGCCTTCCAAGAGAAGAGGAAATTTCTTAGTTACATAATCTAAATTCAGAGTTGGATGCAGTTCAAACTTTCTGAGTGTTACATTCACAAATAAGATAGCCTTCACACTTATGAAATTTGGTCAGAAATTTTTACAGATATTAGAAAAAAAAAGTGATTTGCGGGCTAGGAATGTAGTTCACTGGTAAAGTATGAGGACCTGGGCTTGATCACTTCCACCTCCACCTCCTCCTCAAAAAAAGATTATTTCTGTAACTATATTATAAAAGATTATTCACTGTAACTATACATTAAGAGATAACAATAGAACATTAAAATAATGTACTAGTTGGATGTTCATACAGATGGTGTGATGCCAATCAACATTAACCAAACCAAGCCATTATAACCTAGAAATATAACTTTGCTTAGAAAAAGGAAAAAAAAATACAACTTAGAAATGTGACAACCAGGGGCTGGAGCGATAGCACAGCGGGTAGGGTGTTTGCCTTGCATGTGGCCGACTCGGGTTCGATTCCCAGCATCCCATATGGTCCCCTGAGCACCACCAGGAGTGACTCCTGAGGGCATGAGCCAGGAGGAACCCCTGTGCATCGCCAGGTGTGACCCAAAAAGCATTAAAAAAAAAAATGTGACAGCCAAACTTTCTAGCTACTTTTTTTTCTTTTTTTGCTTTTTGGGTCACAACTGGCAATGCACAGGGGGTACTCCTGGCTCTGAACTTAGGAATTACTCCTGGCGGTGCTCAGGGGACCATATGGGATGCTGGGAATCAAACCCGGGTCAGCTGTGTGCAAGGCAAACGCCCTACCCACTGTGCTATCGCTCCAGCCCCTCTAGCTACTTTCTTGAAGTGATTAGAAATAAGCCTAAGTACTACCAAGGTTGAGACATATCACATTTAATTCCTTATTAAAATAAGGAAAAAGCCTGGGAGGTCAAATTGCAAAACCAAGCTCAAGTAATAAGAAGAAACATCACAACAAAAACCCTTATAACAAAACTTAGACACACACAAATCGTTTTCTAGACCTGGGTATCAGTTTGGATCAAGATTCATTCCTGGACTTTGCTGTTTTCATAATAATGTTATTAGTTACAGCAAATGGAAAAAAGTCTGTACAATACAGAAATCAGTGTTGACATATAACAAGGTGAAAGAGAGAAAAAAATCATGGGAACTGAGCGATGATCCAGATTCATTAACTGCTTAATAGTCAGATGCACATTGAAACTGTGACCCAAAGGATGTTGGAGTATAAAATAATTCTTTCTGTCTTCACCAGATTTTTCATCTTCAGACCAGTGAAATGAAAGTGAATCCATAAACATCAGTGACAATCTCCAAAAAAGGTGAAGCTATCTGTGATTCTGGAAAGCTTCTCCTGAATGTGAGGACTTTAAGGAAACAGTCTTATTTTTCACACAGGACAACGCTTTCTATAAATGTTTTAAACTTTTACCCCTTGAAACAAAAATATTAAACTGAGTTAATGTGACTGAAGGGGGGGGAAAGATACACTGCTTAAGGATGGGTTTAGAATGCATAGGAAGAGAAAGAGCTGTCAAGTATCCAATCTGTTTTCCCATTAATTCAGTAACAAAGCATATTTTTTCTTTATCCTAAACCTATATGGTTTGGATACTGGCAACATTAATTTGAGAATAACCTTTTCCTACATTTCTCTTGAGGCTACAGGGAATCCACTTAAATACCAAAGCAAGAAGTGAAGGTGCTTCTGCTCCTCCTTGAATGGTTTGTTACTTATTCTTTGTCTTGGGGGTCATACCCAGCGGTGCTCAGGGGTCACTCCTGGTGGGGCATGAGTGACCATATGGAGTGCTGGCTCTCAAACTAGGGTGCAAACAAGTGTCTTACCCCTGAACTATCTCTCCAGCTCTATAAGTGATTTTTTTATTATGAAAAACAATTTCCTCTCACTATAAAAATAAAGAACTATGACAATTCGAGATACAATCACTTGGCTGTTTTGCCTCTCTGCTCCCAACTACCTAATCGCAGCCTAACTTTTCATCTGGCTAAGATCATGTAATTTACAACAGGCTCACTGCACTTTAACACGAGCATATTCTAAGTGGTATTTAAGTACATTTTAACTGTAAAAGCTATCTAAGAACTTGCTTTAAGGATGTACCAACATATAATAAATCATTCTCCTGTGTCTGACATTTAGAATAGTTCTAACTTTTCATTAGTATAAATAATATTTTAATGCACATCATTTCATCATTAAGTTTTTCCTTAATTTCAGAGAAATATTAAAGATATTCTAAAAAGTAGAACTTCCAGGAGAAAGGTTATAGACCTTTTGAAGGTTTTTAATACATGCGGCTTTCATCATTTATAATTTATAGGCCTATTAGCAGTACATAAAAGTGTCTCCCTTTGATATCTTTATAATTAATGATGTTTATTTTCTAATCTTAATTATATTGATAAGAGAAAAATGATCTCCAGGATTTATCTTTTTTTTTATTACTTCTCTAGTTAAAAAGGCTCTGATTCATCATTTGCCTTTCCTTTTTATTATGAAATACCCACCTTTCCTTTTTCTATTTACTTCTTGGTCTTTGTTATTTTCCTAATTGCATATATCCTCGTCCTCTACTAACTGTACTAATCCTTCATCCTATTTAAAAATAAATACTGACTTTGTGGATGAACAAAATCTGTCAATTTTCTTCTCTGTGCTTTTGTTTAGCTCACTGCTTCTACATTTAGAAAGATATTTCTCATCGAGACATGGTACTTACCTAAATGTTCTTCTAAATGTTTTGTGATTATTTTACTTTTTTTTTTGGCCACACCCTGCAGTGCTCAGGGGTTACTCCTGCCTCTATACTCAGGAATTATTTCTGGCAGTGCTCAGGGGACCATATGGGATGCCGGGGATCAAACCCAGGTCGGCTGCTGCAAGGCAAGAGTCCTACCTACTCTACTATCTTTCTAGTCCCTGAAACTGTATTATTGTTTTAATTCATAAGAACTACTTCCTCCTGGGGCTGGAGAGACAGCACAGCGGGTAGGGCGTTTGCCTTGCACGCGGCCGATCCGGGTTCTATTCCCAGCATCCCATATGGTCCTCTGAGCACCGCCAGGAGTAACTCCTGAGTGCAGAGCCAGGAGTAACCCCTGTGCATCGCCAGGTGTGACCCAAAAATCAAAAAAAAAAAAAACACTACTTCCTCCACTGAAAATTAATTTTCACAGTTATTACATGCAGAATTGTCTTTTCTTTCCCCATGGAATACCAGTTCTGTCTGCCGCCCTCTTTGTATCCAAACCCTGTGTACTCTTGTTGGGGGGCAGGGAGGCTCCCAAGCATTGCAGAGGAGGCCAGAGGGCCCTGCCTGAGATTCTCAGTCAACTGGGGAAGCAGTTCAGCACAAGAATCTTACAATGCTGAGGCCTGGCAGTTGCTAGAAGACCTGCGCCACCTGTGGGGTGCAAGGATCCTCTGGGGCTACACCCGGTGAAGTGGGGATGGAAACGGAACCCAGGTCAGGTGTATGTTAAGCATGTTCCCGAACGAACCACCATACTATCTTCGACACCCCTAAACCCTGTGCAATCTTCGCTACTCCTGCAACAGTGAACTCTCTTATCCTGACTTCAACTGACTGTGTGACTTGATTTGACTAATGTCACCGTGAACAGTATGAAAACTTTCCTCTAGTCCTGATCTAGGAAGGGCTCTGGAGTAATATGGATTGCAGGCTCCCAAGTCTGTGAGATTGCTCCTATAGCCTGGTCCCTAACAACACAGCCACAGGATGGAGCTGTGTCTTGCCTCCCATCCCCGTGACAGCCCCCATAGTGCCTACCTTCGTTCTCTGCCACCAAAGCATGAAGCAGAATCGTCTGATTGTACTCTGCTCAGACCAGCTGACCTCCCAAACAACTTGAGGATGTGTCAGGGGGAAATTTTTCTGATTTATCAACTGTCACCGAGATTTTAGGGTTAGTGGTAGGTTTTTGGTGGTCAGAAGAGAGAAGTAGATATCACAGAGAAAGAAGAAAGTTCTAGAAAGGACCAGATATTATGGAAACCTACAAGAAAAGGCAGAGAGAGGCTGGAGAGATAGCACAGAGGGTAGGGCTTGCATGCGGCCAACCTGAGTTAGATTCCCAGCATCCCATATGGTTCCCTGAGCACCTCCAGGAGTAACTCCTGAGTGCAGAGCCAAGAGTAACCCCTGTGCATCGCCTGGTGTGACCCCCCCAAAAAAAAAGAAAGAAAGAAAGAAAAGGCAGAGAGCTCCAGGTATAAAACAGTTGCTTCGGATCAAAAAAAAGGGAGGAAGACGCGAGAAACCATTATTAATAGTATTATAGACCACAGAAACTCAATAAAAAAAATATTTTTTTTTAAAAAAGAGAAGGCTTTAGTGATTTAAAAATACCAAATTCTTTGTGGATGGAGATAGTATGGTAGGGTAGGGTAACTGTCCTGTATGTGGCTGACATGGGTTCGATCCCTGGTATTCCATATGGTTACCAGAGCCCCACCAGGAGTGATTCCTGAATCCAGAGCCAGGAGTAATCCCTGAGCAATGCTGAGGGTAGCCCAAAAAACAAACAAAACCAAACTCTACTGATAAGCTCTCAAGGCAGAGACATTTTATCACCAAACATATACTTATACTGATAAGCTCTCACAGCAATATATTTCATTCACACTTAAAGCAAGGTTTAAATATACAGGTTGCTCCTACCCAGGAAAAAGTAGGTGGGCAAGGGAAGAGAGAGATTTAAAAATTCAACACCTTCAAAAAATTTCCAATGGAAAATAATTCTGTGTTTTCTCAAATATATATTTTCAGTGATTTTCAAGTACACACACAGACACACACACGCACACACACAGACACATTTATACTCGATGTTGACACAAGCAGAAAACCCAGATATTCATCTTAACCTCTCACCTTCTGTTGAAATCCACTTGAATTGAATGATCAATCACAAGATCCGCAGGACAGATGGGGTTTATTTTCTCTGGATCTCCTCCTAACTTTTTCACAGCATCACGCATAGCAGCAAAGTCCACCACCGCTGGCACACCCCTAAGAAAAAAGAGCAGAAAAAATGAATCTGCTTCCATTAATCCTATTAATACCACAGTAGTCTTATCAGAGGAGCTAGTAAGTTTCTAATCACTTTTCTTGAGCAGAAATTGCTTAGGCAGGAAGTGCTGTGCTGAATGGGCTCTCTAATGCAATTTTATCATTGCGTGATAAGTGTCCAACAAATATGATCTAAATAGAGAAATGGTGGGAAAGCTGGTGCTCAGAAACTCTGGGACTTTTACTACACTGCTGTGACTATTTCAGGGGGACAGTAGGCATGTGTGTGTGTATGTGTGTGTGTGTGTGTGAGAGAGAGAGAGAGAGAGAAAGAGAGAGAGAGAGAGAGAGAGAGAGAGAAAGAGAGAGAAAGAGAGACAGAGAGACAGAGACAGAGAGACCTGGAGATGAATGACATGGATCATATCTTCAATTTCATAATTATTTTTATAATTATTATTATTATTTGGCTTTTGGGATCACACCTTGCGATGCTCAAAAGTTACTCCTGGCTCTGAACTCAGGAACTGCTCCTGGAATTGCTTGAGGGAACATAATGGGATGTTGGGGATGAAACCCGGGTCAGCAAACGCCCACCCTGCTCTACTACTGCTCTGGCCCTGATTATCTTCAACTTTAGCCTAAACTTAAAGGCATGAATAAGTAAAAGTAAAGGTAAAGGCCCTCCCGTTGATCGTCGATTTGCTCGAGCGGGCCCAGTAACGTCTCCATTGGAGACTTTGTTGTTACTGTGTCTGGCATATCGAATACTCTCGGTAGCTTGCCGGGCTCTCCGAGAGGGGCGGAGGAATCGAACTCGGGTCGGCCATGTTGGCCGCTTGTAAGGCGAACACCCTACCCGCTGTGCTATCGAAAGGCATGAATATAATGCAGAAAAGAAAACTGGAATCAAATTTTATCAAGTGAATCCTTCTTTTCCACTTTGTGAAGAGTACAAAATCTGGGTGCCCTTCATCTAGCAAACTGAAACTTCTGCTCGTAGAAAAAAATAAAATAATATTAATCAAAAATGGAAAAGTAGTAACTCCAACAAACGCTGAGGGAGAGCAGGGGCTCCTGAGACTCGCAGGATGTGAACTGAGGTTTCACAGCAATAGGTCAGACCTTGTGCACTGCTCAGCCCCCTCTGGGGAGCTTGACAGTGTTCCCGCTACGGCTGTTTGTAAATTCATTTCCTGGGTGACAGGATATCGGGAGGGGGGAAGGGACAATGGATTCTGAGACAGACTCTCCCCATCTCCCTGCCAGGACTATAATCTGCAAGACCAAAGACAATGGCTTTGGAGCTGAGAGATGGTATGGTGGGTAGGGCACTTGCCTTGCTCCTGCGTTCAATCCAGGCACCACATCTGCCCACTCCCACCACCCCCCAGCACTGCCAAGGGAGTGATCCCTTGAGCACAGAACCGAAAAGCCCTAAGCACAGCCAGGTGTGGCCCCCAAGTCAAAACCAAACAAAGAAAACGGGCCTTGCCACACAAAGAAATTACATGAGCCACACATTTCAATGTGCCCAAGACAATCCAGTTTATGCTGCCTGGATATTATAGCCTCCTTTTCATTTGTAAAAGTGTCTAGAGATTAAGGGATAAATTAGACAGAGAGCTACAGAGCAAGGTGGGGGGAGGGGTGAGAGTGGGAAAGAGAGAAAAGGGGGAGGGGAGAGACAGAGACAGAGACAGAGACAGAGACAGCGTGTTTTGCTAGGGATCTAACCCAGGGTCAAACACACTTTCACAGAGGCCTGGTTTCAATCCCTAGCACCTCAGGGTATCCTGAGTACCACCCAAACATACATGGGAAGTAGCTCCCAACACTGCTAGGTATGGCCCCAAACCACATATACACCACCAACAACCCTCTCTATCTGCCCCCCTCCCCCCCACACACACACACTTTCTTTAAAGGCTGGTAAAGAGGGACACAGGCTTACGTAAAGTCCTGTAGGATGACACGGGCAGGCTTGAAAGGCACTTCGATGTTTTTATGCTGCATGACATTCCAATTGAGGATATTATCAATGTCATTTTTCTTCACCAAAAATTGATCACAGTTCCGAATGGCTGCTTCCAGGAGGACCCGGATAGAAAAGGGTAAGCGCCCTGGGAGGAGATGAGAAAGCATTGCAAAATGAAGAGCCACCAGACACTTGATCTAAGAGCTCCCTGAAGCCAATCTGTGTCATATAAACGTGCCCTGAAGCACCAGACCCTGCCTCCAGCAGAGAGAGGGGTGAAGTTAAAAGTTTTCAACAGTTTAAAACTTAAGACTATTGAAGGAGACATTCTCAAAGTTTGTTCTTGCACATACCTTGGGCCCAGGTCCCAGGTATCCAGTTTGGTCCCCTGAGCCCATTGGTAGTAATTCCTGGGTGACTCCAAGCGTAACCAATGCCTGGTGTGGCCCCAAACCCAACCTCTCCCTCCCTTCCAAAAAGAGAGAGAGAGAGAGAGAGAGAGAGAGAGAGAGAGAGAAAGGAACCAGGGCCCATTTTTCTGCCACTCCCTCTTTCCTCTCTCCTCCAGCCTTTACAGGCTTAATTATGCAGAAGAGATTCTAACTGCAGAGCAGTTCCACCACACTTACCATATCTTGGATCCTCCAATTTATTCAAATTGAAGAATTTCTTTCCGGGTTCTGTAGGGTCCAAAGGCTCAGCTAGGTGGGCAAATGGGTTACTCATGGTTCCTGATGGCTAAGAGTTCCTGAGAAGGAAAAAGAGAGAGAGACCACTGACTCGGACCTCCAAGTGGAGCCCCACTTTTGTTCCCAATTTTGTTCCTTCTTTTCAAGGAATCACTCAACTACCTTTTCAAAGGGAAGGGAGGTAAAACATAAATAATTACTTGAACAATACTGTTGGCAAATGTGTTTTCTTTTTCAAGCTCCCCGGGGAGCTGAAGTGAACTCAGGATCCCAGACTTCTTTTGCTGTCTTTCCACCACATCTGCCACTGAGAAGCTACAGGAAGAAGGGAGGTGGGGGTTGTCTGCACCATGAATCTTGAACCTGTGAACAGACCTCTGAGCTCCACTCAGAAGTTCAGGAGCAGGTGACAAATGTTACACAACTGTTTTAAAACTCGACCTTTGGAAGTGGGCTCTCGAAAGCAACTGTTTTCTGTTCGAACAGTCTCTGCAACACTTGGATTCAACATGCTAGTTCCAAGTCTTCCTGATTCGCTCTTGCCTATGGGGGCCGCAGCGTACTGATCACAGGGAATCTTTAGGATGCACTGGTGCCAGCCCGTGCTGGGCAGAACTCCTCAGCTGTACTTTAAGACCTTATAAGCTGTACACACAGGTCTCTGCTCCAGCTAGGCGCACAAAGATGAACAGTGATTTCAGAGCAAAACACAGGTGGGAGTGAGATCACGTTCCCCCTCCTTCCCTACTCTCTCTTTCTTCTTTCTTTCTTTCTTTCTTTCTTTCTTTCTTTCTTTCTTTCTTTCTTTCTTTCTTCCCTCCCTCCCTCCCTCCCTTCTTTCTTTGCTTTTTGGATCACACCCGGCAATGCACAGGAGTTACTCCTGGCTTCGCACTCAGGAATTACTCTTGGCAGTGCTCGGGGGACCACATGGGATGCTGGGAATCAAATCTAGGTGGGCAACATGCAAGGCAAACCCCCTACCCTCTGTACTATAGCTCCAGTCCCTCCCCCTTACCTTTTCTCATCTAACACAGCCCACATACATGCACTGCTGAGCCACACGCCAGGCCCAAGATTTTCCGATTCTACCTCTAGGACACCAGTTTTGAATCAATTCATTTTGCAACAAATCTTCATTTTTTTTTCAGATAAGAATAGTAACATTGGCCAGACTATCTCGTCATTGGCTACCCTCCAGATAGCATGTCCTTTTTTCCCGGAACGGAGCAAAACAGGACACTTGCCATAACCATGCCCCTGGATCCCAGGCCAGGCTGTTTCACTCGGGGTACCCCAGACCCCTCCCCACCCCAACGGACCCAGCCCCGGTAGCCGAAAACCTCCAGAACCCTGCCATCCCATGCTCATGACGGCTCTCCACACGCTCGGGCAGAGCATCACCCACGAGCGAATCTATTCTTGGATCATGCGGCCATGAAACCACACACCCTACCCGTACTCCAAGATTACAGCACCAAATTTGATAGTGTACAAAGCAGGAGGCAACCAATCTTAGAGGGTAAATATACGTTTTTTTTGCAGATACAGATATAAAAAGCACACAATGCTCAACCTTTAACAACATGTTAGTGATCTCTTATAGAAGAGCTTAATGGTCCCCGAGTGAAATACAACAATCTTCATTTTCTTTCCTCTAAGTATACATTTCTGTAGCATTTTTCAGCGTTTATTCATACCAAATAATACAAAATATATTACTTCGGTTCTGCTTTAGAGCAGGGATTGGGGTTCGGGATAGAAACGCCTGAAATATGGTGGTGGGAAGGTGTAATGGTGGGATTGGTGTTTGAATATTAAATGTAATCAAATATTATGAACTACTCTATAAAGGTAAAGGTAAAGGCCCTCCCGTTGATGAACTACTCTATAAAATAAAAAAATTAAAAAATAAGAATAGTAACAGTTGCCGTTTTTGGCTTGGTCAGATATTGAGGAGGTGGAGAAGGGGGTGTGTGTGTGTGTGTGTGTGTGTGTGTGTACAAGTCCACCAGCAGTGCTCAGGGATCTGTGAAGGTGCTGGGCTCAAACCTGGGTCTCCCACATGCAAAGCGTGTGCTCAGCCCTTTGGGCCATCCCTCCAGCCCCAACAACTCAGTCAACTTACCTATGTCATGGGATGATGGATGGATATGAAATAAATGTCTATTGTGAAATGAAAAACCACCCTCCACCCCCACCCCACCATGTATGAACAACAATGATGGGATTGGGGAAAAAAAAAAAAAGCAAGGGTACCTTCTCTCCAGCATCTTCAGTATGTCAGGAAAGGGGTGGTTCCTTTAGAAGGAGCAAGGCTCTCCAAGTGTTTAATGCTTATAATATGCCACTCAGCATTAGTTGCATTTTTTTCCCCTTTTTTTCCCATTTTTGCCTTTAGCCACATCCAACTGTGCTCAGGGCTTCATTCATCCTGGCTCAGTGCTCAGGAATGCGAGGGGGACCATAAAGGACGCCTGAGAGCAGCCTCAGATCAGTCATGTACAAGGCAAGTGTCCTACCTGTTGTACCACGGCTCAGGCCCTTATCTGCATTTTTAACTTTTAACTGCGTACGTACATAAGGTTTAAAAAAAAAAATCCTCCACAAGAAGAAAACATCCAACCCCATCAAAAAGTGGGGCAACGAAATGAACAGAGACTGTCTCAAAGAAGAAATCCGAATGGCTAAAAGGAACAAGAAAATGCTCTACATCATTAATCATCAGGGAGATGCAGATCAAAACAATAATGAGATATCATTTCACACCACAGAGACTGGCCCACATTCAAAAGAACAAAAGCAACCTGTGTTGGCGCAGATGTGGCGAGAAAGGGACACTCCTTCACTGCTGGCGGGAATGCCAACTCGTTCAACCCTTTTGGAAAACAGTATGGACGATTCTCAAAAAATTAGAAATTGAGCTCCCATTTGATCCAGCGATACCACTCTTGGGAATATACCCCGGAGAGGCAAAAAAGTATAGTCAAAGTGACATCTGCACTTGTTTGTTCATTGCAGCACTGTTTACAATAGCTAGAATCTGGAAAAAACCTGAGTGCCCGAGAACAGATGACTGGTTAAAGAAACTTTGGTACATCTACACAATGGAGTACTATGTAGCAGTTAGAAAAAATGAAGTCATGAAATTTACATACAAGTGGTACTACATGGAAAATATCATGCTAAGCGAAATGAGTCAGAAAGAGAGGGACAGACATAGAAAGATTGCATTCATCTGGGTAACATAAAGTAACAAAATAAGAGACTAACACCCAAGAGCAGCTGTGATAAATACCAGGTTGTTCACTCCATGTCTTAGAGACAAGCCGCACACTCTAGGGGCAAAGGCAGCTCAGATAGAGAAGGGAGCACCAAATAAAGGGTGCTGGGAAGATCTGCCCAGGATGGGAGATGCACGCTGAAAGTAGTCTATAGACCGAACATGATTGCCACCCAATGTCTCTTCTGCAGACCACAGCACCCAAAAGGAGAGAGAGAACAAAAGGGAGTGCCCTGCCACAGAGGCAGGGTGGGATGGGGGATGGGGTGGTGTGAGGGATACTGGGATTGGTGGGGGTGGAGAATGGGCACTGGTGGTGGGATGGGTACTCGATCACTGTATAACTGAAACCCAAGCACAACTTGTAAGCCTACAACTGTACCTCATGGTGTTTCACTAATAAAACAAAAACCAACAAACAACAACAACAACAAAAAATACAAGTGGGGCTGGAGTGATAGCACAGCAGGTAGGGCGTCTGCCTTGCACACAGCCCGACCCAGGTTCAATTCCCAGTGTTCAATTCCCAGCGTCCCATATGATCCCCGGAGCAAGACCAAGAGTAATTCCTGAGGGCATGAACCAGGAGCAACCCCTGTGCATCCCCGGGTGTGACCCAAAACGCAAAAAAAAAAAAAAAAAAAAAAAAAAAAAAAAAAATACAAGTTAAACTTTTTTTTTCCCATTTTGGGTCACACCTGGTGATGCTCAGGGGTTACTCCTGGCTCTGCACTCAGGAATTATGCCTCGCGTTGCTCAGGGGACCATATGGGACGCTGGCAATCAGTGCAAGGCGAACGCCCTACCCGCTGTGCTATTGCTCCAGCCCCACAAGTTAAACATTTTAAAAGGTTGTGTCCATGTGCTCTAAGCAGCAGTTCAGGAGACAGAGGAACAGCCCTGCCCGACATTGACCCACAGTCAAAGCGGGGGAGAAACCGTGAACAGAGGTGGCGGCTGTCTACCCCTCAGGAGCAGGACTCTGCGGCTGCTTCCCCTGGGGCCCGGAGGGTTTTGAGGAGCTGCCATTTGGTGCAAAAGAGGAACGGATCTGACTGGCCCTGGGCCAACTGACTTCCTTCTCCAGGAATTCTGAAACTGGACCCCAAGAAAGGCCAGCAGAGGACGCAGAAGCTGCTGGAGCCGGGCTCTTGCAAGTGGGTAGGTTGTGACCAGCTGTGTCAGAATTTGGGGGTGGGGTTGGGGTGGTGAGTCTCCATGGCTCAGGGGTAGGGGGTGGGGCAACAGAAATCTCTACCACTAGCCTGCCTGGATTGAGATGCATTTGACTGGGGGGATCTTTACAGGATGTGGGGGCGAACCAGGGGAGGGACTCGGCTTGGCCCGGTGTAGCCCTGGACAAACCCCCTCCTCCTGCCCCCCTCCCCGCACTCCGGGGCCCAAGCAGCGAACCACCACCCAAGCTGACTGAATATCCTGGGGTGTGGCCTCAGAACCCTGAGCACCACTTGGGAGCCTCCTCCAGCACCCCAAGTCAACGATGGATGGACTGAAAAAGTTTCTGGGTACTGCTGGGTGCGTGGGGAATCACGGGGATGGGAACACGCTGACCCCGTGAGCGTCGGAGCTGTCTTAGGGAGGCGAGTGTGCAGGCAGAAAGGGCAAAGGGCACACAACTGCAAGATCTGCAGTTATTCTCGCTGAATGAGGAGGCATTTCAAGAGGAGGTAATCAAGAGGGGGGAAAACCCTAAAAATACACAGTGCAGGGGCTGGAGAGATAGCACAGCGGGAAGGGCGTTTGCCTTGCATGCGA